TTGGTGGAGCCCACTCTGTGGTCGGAACCCTATATTCCACTTCCTCTTCTGCTGACATGTTGCATGGGTACAGTTGGAGAAAGATGGATTAAATAAACCCAGAGAAAGTCAGCTTCTTGGGTTGTCCTTTTTACCAACTCTTCCCTGAAACCCACCTTCTTTTGGCTCCCCCAGTGGCTCTCAGCATCATGCCTGTGATATCACTAAGAACAGTGTTTCAAACTTGTGGCAGAACCTAGATTCCTCCCATGCTGGATTCCAGATCCATAGGTTCCCATGGTGCCTGCCCTTAATTCTGCTGCCCTGACCTTGACTCTAGATGTTTGAACAAAGCCCCAGGGCAGAATGGGGGTGGGGGAGTCCCACTGCTGCAAGAATGAGAAAATTTTATGCATTCAAATACAGAAAATAAATGTGTGGTCACAAAATCTCCCTCCCTGCATCTCTTTGAGATTCCATTTGAATAAAGACCTGTGTGTGTGTGTGTGTGTGTGTGTGTGTGTATGTGAGAGAGAGAAAGGTATTTTAACGCAGAGGTCAGCAATGGAACCCTTCAACTTTGTAGGTGATCTACAAAGACTTTGCGGCCTCAGTGATGGCAGTTTCTTTGCTTATAGTTTTAGTGTATGTACTCCTTCCTCCAGGGCCAGCTTTCATATTTCCATGATGGATAAAGAGGAAAATCTGTGCACCTGCCCATCAGGAACCTTAGGAGACTAATGAGCCATTCGGAGAGTTTATGTTTTCTTAGAGGAGTTTAGCAGCCAAATATAAGTCTTTGTGGAAACTGCTTTATGGTGGTTATTTTCTTTTCTCCTTGTTAATAACCACAGCAGCAGGGCTGATGCAAGAAGTACTTACGGAGTCATTGAACTTTATCAACCTGGGATTTTATAGCTTGGACTTTTCCCCCAACAGAATAGTCACACTGAAAGCAGTTTCCCAGGGGTGTGTGTAGCTTTCCCTCCTTGGCCCTGGCTCCAACTCTTTGAGAGGAAGCCAAGTTTGCAGGTGTCTTTTGGTCTTCTGCAGCTTTTGCTCCCTCTCTGCAGAGCTGGCCTTGCAACATGGTCCTGAAAGGGTTGGAAAACCAAATGCATCCCACCCTCTATCCCTGTGGCCAGAAAGAATACAAGGTACCTGCTCTGTGTGAATGTCAGATGAACAGCAGATGGATGGTTAGTAGAAATGTGTCCCTGACATACTCAGAATAAAACTTATTTGCTACTTATCTAAAATGCCAATGTAACTTGTTACCTCTGTTCTACCCAGAGGCCCTACCAGGAGTTAATCATTAAATGTTTACCCAGGCCCCTGAGTCAGGTGTCTGCTCTTCCCACAGAGTTATTAATCTGGTTGGTCAAGCCTCATGTTAGGGTCAAGACCAGGACTCAGACTTCTGGCCTTGAGATCCCTGGATCCTCCTACAAAGAACTGGGCTGATGTAACCCAGCATTTCTCCCCTCTCTGCTCACCCATTGCTAGAAACAGTCTTGTTCCTCTCCAGACCTGGCAAGTGGGGCCTTTTTGTCCAGATCCGTTTGTAACCATCTCCCCAAAGCCTGTGGTCTGTGCAACACTGGTGGCTGGAGCTGAAACACTGCTGCTGGCTGATTAGGGCCACACTTTCTCTTCCTCTGTCCCTTCTGAATCCCACCAGTTCCTGTTCTGTGTGTGTCTGCCAAGTGCCCACTGTGTCCCAGGTGATGGAGGGACCGCAGAGACTTTAGCACACAAAAGTCCTGCACTGATGAGCCTCCTTCCTGCTTCTACATTCACTAGATGAAGGTGGGAAAGAGAAGACACCAAGAGGCTCTGAAGGCAATGAGCCAGGGGGTGGGAGATGGGGACAGTTGTACTCTTTTTAAATATCGAGACATTGGGTGCAATCTCAGTGGTTGGGGAGTGGATACACCTGTGAGAGGCCTCCAGTGCTTGCCCCCAGGAAGCTGCTTAAGGACAGCATGGGCAGGACAAGGCCAGCATGGACTACATGAGCTCCACTGGGCACTCTGTTCTCCATTTCCTGGGTGCTGATGGTGTGACTGTTCTGCAGCTGTGTGCTTTCTGGCATGCTACAGGCTGGTGTGAAAAGCCAGTGCCTATCTGGGGTGGAGCCAGCAGAGATTGGGATGCACCATGTCCTTAGGGGTCACTCTGATTTCCTCCTGCTCCTTGGGAACCCAATGACAATTGCTCTTCTCCAGCTGCCCCTGTTGTGCTTGTGATGCCCCACTCCAAACCTTCCCCATTCTCCTGGACCCTGCTGGAATCGCAAGGAGTCTAGGCTCAGGAATTAGGGAGAGGCATTCCTAAGTGGAGCTAAAGCTGCTCTCAGACAACTTAATGCCTTCAATGTAGAAGAGCCCTGGTGTAGCAAAACCCAGCACCAGGACCCTCTCATAGCCATCCTCCCTGACCCTGTGAGCAGTGAATGCTGCCCCTGTCCCACTGCCTTGGGCAACAGAAAATATGTTGCTTTAGCTCCTGAGAAGGGGCTAGTTTGTGTTCACTCTTAAGTCTCTGCTCCCTCTGATTCCTTTAAAGCTAGAGCTACCAACTGGCTCAGGCTGGTCTGCAGCTGTGGTCGCAGTGTGCAAGCCCATTAGACCCCCTGGGAGGTTTGAAAGAGCAGGATCAACACTGGGCAAGTTAAACTAGGACTTCGATACTTGTTGTTGGCACGTTTTACAAAGCTCTCCAAGAACCTACCCTTGCAGCCAGGATAAAAATGGGCATTCTTCATCAGAACTCAAGATGTGGTTGGAAAGAGTGGCAGTTACAGAATATGGATAGAAGTTGAACATCCCCAACCCAAAAGTCTGAAATCTAAAACGCTTCAAAATCCAAAACTTTTGGAGGCCTGAGATGACCACTACAAGTGGAAAATTCCATACCTGACCCCAGGGGACAGGTTACAGTTGGAACACTGAAAATGGTGTGTAAAACTACCTCCAGGCCGAATGTATATGAAGCATAAATGAATTTTGTGTTTAGACTTGGGTCCCATCCCCAAGATATTTCATTATGTATGTGTAAATATTTCCAAACCCCCAAAGCCTGAAATTTGAAATATTTCTGTCCCAAGCATTTCAGCTAAAAGATATTAGCATGCAATAGTACACATTTTGCAATTTATGCATGCAATCAGTAAATGTGTAAAGGCATGTATTTAATACCCCATGCACATCAACAGAGGGCATGTCACACAAAATAGCTGTGGCCCACGTGTGATTTTGAACCTCTTCCTAGGACAACTGGGATATTTTCAGTGGGAATGGATCCCCTGACCCCAACTACCATTGGATGGTGGAGGGCAGGTGTCCTTTCTGGAGAAGTTCCTTCACCATCCTTGGTTTTTTGCTGCAGGTACTGGGGTCTGGGAAGTACCCTGTGAGTCTGAGTGGAGGATGGGCACATACCTTGGGGTTTATTCCAAGAGAGATCCCACAGAAGAGTACAGCAGGAAGGACAGGCTGAGCTGGGAATGCCCTTCCTGGACATTTGCTATTAACCAGTAAGTTGAATAAGGAGGACATGGGAACAGTACTCTCTTGAGTGTTACATGCAGTTATAACACGGGGCAGCCAGGGTTTTAGCTCAGTGATGCCTCTGCCTACCTCACAAGCACAAAGTCCTGAGTTCAATCCCTGGTACAACAAAACAAAACAAAACAAACCACCAGAGCAGGGGCTATACCCCAGGCCTGGTCTGGAGTCTGTCAAGCAGGTGAACTGGGGCTGCAGCGCACCTGTGTGGTGGAGGGCAGCTGCCTCCCTGGTGTGCAGAGACAGTAGGGGTGCCAGGCAAACTCTTTGCTTCTGCCCCTGTAAGAGGTGCAGCCACAGCCAAGAAGTTATGTGAGGTTGCCAGGTGGGCCTGGGGTGGCTGCTGCCTGTGGCTTTTCAAGAGACTGAAATTCAGATATTCACGTGGGAACAATCACTTTGGTATTCAGCCAAGTCCACTCCCATTTTAGGGACAAGAGTGTCAGAAACTAGCATGGATACCTCTTTCCTGTGCTTGTGTGGTCGTGGTGCACCGTGAAGTCTCTAGACCAGATACAGAGTCAGAGCCAGTGCGTGCCTGCGCCCACATCACCTGTACTCTGTGAGCAGGTGCTGTTCACGAGCACCCTGACGGTCATAAAGAGTCCTCATGTAACCTAAGGGGTCTCTTTTCTCTTCATGGCCTTCAGGGTCCTCAGCAGCCCTGGTAAAATCTAACATTTATTCACCTCTTCCTGGACCCCAGGGATGGAAGTTGTCACAGCTGTGGTCCGCAAACACTGGATAACCTCCCAGGGGCCTGTTGGAGTCTTTCTAATACTGGCTTAAAGCCCTGGTCCAAGGTGGCTGTGTATAGCCTGGCAGGGGTCATTGGTGGAGAGATATTACTGAATTTAGCTATGGGGAAGGGGCCCTCCCAGCTGCCACCACCTCTTGGGAACCCCCACCCAGCTTTAGCTTGCTCACGACCTGGGTTTCTGCTGTGCTGCTGGTCCCGGCGATTACCTCCTTTCTGAGGCCGGCCCTATCTTTCTGTTCTATTTTTACTGGTCCCTCTCTGTTTGAAGCAGGGTGTTATTATAGTGAGCTCTCACTGCCACTCTGACCTGATGCCTGCATTTCTTCCTCTCCTGCAGTTTTATCGTCAAAGGAAAAATAAAGGTAGCCATTTCTCTTACATGGGAAGTTTCAACCTGCTGGGGCCCTTTGGTGAATCCTTGTCAGCTAGAGCTCCTTTAATGGTGGGGTTCACACATTCAGGCCAGAGTTCCCAGGGCCTCCCCAGTTCTGGCTGTTGTACCTCTGCTCAGGCTTGTGGGGAGAAGAGGGAGGTGCTGAATTCTTGCCACTTTAGGCACTAGTATGTGAATCCACATGGGCAGTCCTTGGCTGCTGATCATGCCAATATGCAGGAATCTCCATGAGCCCCTGGCTTCCCTTTAATTTTCACATTTCCCATTGCTGGTTTTCTTTCTCTCCTCCTTCACACAGAGACCTGGCCACCATGCCACGTAGCCCGACGTCCAGTGAGGATGAGATGGCCCAGAGCTTCTCTGACTACTCCATGGGCTCCGAGTCTGACAGTTCCAAGGAAGAGACCATCTACGACACCATCCGGGCCACAGCAGAGAAGCCAGGTGGTGTGAGGATGGAGGAGAGCCAGGGGGACACACTGGTGATCCGCGTGGTCATCCAAGATCTGCAGCAGACGGTGAGCTCCTCTGAAGGCTGGTGCTGTGCTCCATGTCTTTTGCACTTTTGTCCATATCTGGGTGGTGTTGACCATGGCCTGAATACCAGAGAGTATATAGTTCCAGTTCACCCAGGATTTTCAAGGCTAAAGGCTGTGGACCGGTGATCATTGTTTGCTGTAGAATCCTGTGTTGGCTCCTCTGGGGTCCTTCCCTCAGGCCTGTGTTCCTACTTCAGTGTACAGCATTCACTGAGCACTTATTTTAATCCATTCTGTGTTACTGTAATTAAATACCTGAGGTGGGCTACTCTGCGAAGAAAAGTTTGTTTTGGCTCTCAGCTCTGGAGGGCCAAGATCCAGGGTCTCATTGATCTTGCCCTCTTCTGGTTAAACCACCAGGATCCGATTCTGGGGCTCACTCTGGTGAACTTGTATAACCTTGTTCACCTCCCAAAGGTCCCACCTCCAGTCACCATCATCAGTTAAGCTTCTGCTCTCTTAGCCTCTCAACCTGGGGATTAGATTTCAGCCTAGGAAGCCTTGGGAGCACTCACCACGTCCAAGCCATAGCAAGCACCTGCAGTGTCCCAGGCCTGAGCTCAGCTAGCCTTGGGGTTGGAGACTGCAGGAACCGTTCAGTCTCACGGGAGAATCTGGGGGGCCAGGTATGTTAACACTCAGACTCTGGGGCCCACTGATGGCAGGTGTCCACTGGACCCAGCTCTCCCCCTGCTGATAGTCTGTGTGCATCCTAGCACTCTCAGCTATCCCACTACTCTTAGGGCGTGGGGCCCTGAGGCAAGGCCTCCCTTCCCTGTGCTGCCCCTGGCCAGCGCCCATTTGTTCCCCAGCCCAGAGCCCAGTGTAATTCCTGTGCCATTGCTTGTACACACTGGCAGCCAGGCATCTGTTGCTATGGTTTACTTCCTGGTCAGTTCCTGGGCCCTGTCGGTGGGTTTGCCTCCCCCAGAGAGGGAACCCCTGGTGCTTGTGTTGCGCAGAGGTAGGCTGGTGTGGTAGATGGCATGGATGTGGCAGCAAGACAGGTTTCCTAAGGAACATCCTATGTGCTGGGTGTTCCTACGTTATTCTTGCTCTCTCCTTCCTCCTCCTGTACATCAAGCAGATGAAACTGGAACCATGTTAAGCAGAGATATGAGCTCCCAACGCTGACCTCTCCCATCTCCTGGGAGAGGGCTCAGTTCACAGGAGGCGCTCAGCATATGTTTGTCGGCTTTGCCGGTCCAGGTTATTGATATTGGATCTTGCCTAAGGGCATTGACATGAAAATGCCTGCAGCCTGATACTTTCTACATTCACTCAGCAACTGTGAGCATCTGGGACAAGCCAGAAGCTGTCTTAGACATCAAGGCGGGAAGCCACAGAGGGTGACAGGATAGTTTCCTGGGGTGGTGGAGGTGGTGAGGAGAGTATTACGGGTTGCTGTGGGCCGGAGGGTAATGGGAGTGTGGTGAGGATGGTGGGGCAGTAGTTTCCAAGGGTGGCCAAGGTATCCAGTTCTCCAAGGCAGGATATATTGAAAGCCCCCCCCCCCTTGAGATAAAGGAGCGTGAATGGGAGCTGAGGGAAGTTAGGAGGTGATCTGAGGTCTGGGGTGCAGTTCTGGAACCTTGCATGGGTCCTGCTCCACACCTGTCGTGGAGGTGAGGGAAGAAGAGAGAACTCAAGGAGCATGTCAGTTCCTCACCTTGCCTGGCCTTTCCCAGGAGCTGCACCTGGCTGCAGGCGGTGAGGGGCTAGATGGGTAGGCCAGCCCTGAGCCCACAAAGACGGCCATGAAAGATTTGGTGAGCCAGGCAGCGACTGTGTATGCACCCTCATGGGCACATGCGCAGTCCCATGGGTACAAGACCCTTCACACATAGCCACTCTGTGCCCCACTCGATGTCCGACCTGGTCGGTCTCTACTGTAGGAGTAAATGCCTGTCACCACCTTTACAGTGGCCTAGTCCATTTCTACTTCCATGCTTTGTTTTGCCCTTTAAATGGATGGGATTAATTGCTGAGTGCTTTTAGGAAGAGTTCCTCAGGACAGTGCCACCTCAGTGAAAATATAGTTGACCTGTGTTGTTCACAACACTTTTATTCTATAAAGTACATTGCATGCCATAAAGACATGGCATTTCATGTAGTGTTTACCCACTACCCTTGAACTTGAGGCCAACGGTGCTGTAATTCCTGCTTACATGAGGTTTTTCCAGTAGGCACAACACAGTCACGCCCGGCTTAGGACCTCACACATTAGAACTGGAGGGCCATTTTAAATGGCAAAGTCTCCAACGAAAAGCTCTCTCTCTCTCTCTCTCTCTCTCTCTGTCTCTCTCTCTCTCACTCGCTCTCTCTCTCTCACACACATACACACACACACACACACACACACACACACACACACACACACACAAAGTCAGCAGTGTGGCACTAAATAGGCCACAAGAAGGACACTTGCTTACCATATGAGAGTAGAAGCAAGGCAGGGGTCACCTCATCTGACCTCGTGTGGGGTCCCCTGCACTGGGGACCCTGTGTGTTGCTACTTTTCACTTGTCTGTAAATGATCAGAGCACCGACCGAAAGGGTCAAATGCGAGGTTACTAGTGAATTTCCTTGGGTAGGCTCATCCCCATAAACAGAACTCACAAATAACAAGGGCTGACTGTGTTTTGAAAATGTTTCCTTGCTGTCTCTGGCTCAGAGCTCTTTTTCTCTGTGTCATACTTTCTCATCACAAGCCTTCCCTGCCTTTGTGGAGGTATTGTCTTCTGGCCCTGAGTTTTGCTTCAGAGGTGGCCCTTTTCCATTTTTTCCCATCTTGTAGATACCCCCACCCTCTTTTGTTGCCTAGATGTCTAAAGAATCAGTTGATAGACAAGTAAATGTTTATTATTAGCCATTGTTGGTTTTTCCTGGAAAACCTTGTGTCCTGCAGATTCTGTTTTTCCCTCCCTTTAAGGATGTTTCCTTGTATTCCATAACTTCTCTGGGTTATGGGTCAGGATTTTCTCTGTATCACGGGTAGTAAGTAACCTTAGGCTGGATTTTCCTTCCCTGTATCTGTCTCTTACTGCCTCCATCGCTGGACACTTTCTTGTGTGTTTGTACAATATCCCAGAGTCTTCACATACTGCATGCTCAGTTGGATCAGCTCAGTTCCTTGCAATTTCTAATCTATTGTAGTCATGTTATTCTGACTTTCTATTTGTTTTCATAGCCGTGTGCTCTCCTTTTGAAAATTATTCTTTCAAGTTGCTTATTTGTTTTATGTCTTATTGTTTTACTCCCTAGCATAAAGCTCTCTTGGAGACTTTTCTTCCTTTAATTGGAGTGTATTTTCACCTAGATCAGAGGCTTGTCTGATCCTCCACATGCTCTTTCTTCCTTATTTATTGCTTTTCCTGTACTGTGCTTTCATTATTATCCACGCCATCTCTCTCCGTGGTGTTCATTTGAGTGGCAGCAGTGTGATCCTTTTCTGAGAACACACACATGAGCCTTCCCGACCTCCCTTGTAAAGCTAGACACGTCTGTCCATCTGACTGCCTAGCTTCTCAGAAGAAAAGCTGCAGGGGTCATGCATTAGCTTTGAAGTCACCAAGGCGATACCTGATGCCCACAGCTGAAAGGAAGATAGTTTTAATTTGGCACATGGTATAAATGGATTCAGTCCATGGTCAACTGATTCTATGGAAGGAACATCATGGTTGAAAGACATGGTGGAGCAAAGCTGCTTAGTTCCTGATGGCCAGGAAGCAAAACAAATATCACAGGGAAGGAGCCAGGGAGGAGATATAGCCGTCAAGGTTGCACCTCCCCGAGCCACCCACACATACCCAGAAGTGTGCTTCACTAATCCCCTGGGGCTCTCTTAATGCAGTTGAGTTGACCTATCAGGATGAAGGGTCACAGGTACGTGTAGGGGAGGGGTAAGTCTTTCTGGAAGGCAAAGGCCCCATTTTCTTTTGAGATTTTCTTAGCCACTCGGCAGCAGGACCCCTAGGAGGGCACTATGTCTCATCGTCTTTCGTCTTCCATCATCATCCGACAATGATTCCCCAGCCCTTGGAGCATTGCTATTCAGTAAGCAGCCCTGCCACCTGCCAGGAGGGTCTCTCCAGATGGCCGGCCCTCTCAACCCCTCACATCTCCCTAGACCTTGCCTACCCAAGCAGGAGGTGACAAGGGCCCCAGAGAGGGCGAGGGGGCCACATTCCCCACCAGGCTTTCATTTCTATGTGGCTCTCTGAAGGCGGCATTTCTGGCAGTGAGTGGTGCCTGTATCTTGCTCTGGATACTTTTTTTCAGGGGGGGACTTTTATGTTCGGAGTCACATGGTCTGAGCGTCTTGGCCCCAGGGTACTGCATTCCTCAGTGACTGCCTCTCCGGGGTGGAGACTCCTGCACCCCATCACTGTAAACCATCCTCATGTTGCAGGCCCATCTTGCCTCTGGCCTCCTGTCTCTGGTTTTGCTTATTGTTAAGGGAGTGGGACAGGAGACTAGGAAAGCCTTCTCTTGGGTTTCAGACCTGAGACCTGAAGGTCCAAATTGAGAGGCTTCTGGGGTTGAGCACAGAGCAGAGCAAGTGTCCCTTTGCTTGCTGCCTGTGGGCAGAGCTGGCTACTCCAACTGAGACACAGCACATAACTCTGCAGTGTACTAATCCCTGTGGATGTGATCTGTGCGGGGGAATCCAGTACTCTGTACTTGTCCTGAGAGTACTTTTATAACTTCCTCAAGGGTTATCATATGCCATACACTGCGTTGGGTCTTAATGTGTGTTGTGTGGCGTAGCCCTTGTGGCAGCCTCGAGGTAGCAGTGTTTGCCAGTATCTCTTGTGAATTATAGCAGACCTATCACAAGGACCGGCATCTTCGATGCCCAAGTATAACACAGTGTGTAACCATAGCTGAGTGAAGAGAAAACATTGCTCACCCACGCCCCTACCATCCGTGGAGAGGTTTTTGATTAAAACTAGTTTTCAGATGGGGACATGGAAGAT